AAGTTATTAATGAGTCTTTCTCCAATCCTGATGCCCCATTCTTGTTCATGTACTCTAGCTTCTTGGATTATTTGCTCATCATTACAGATTGACTAAGTATGATGAAAGGATGCAATACTGACACACATGTTTCCTGGTTACAAATCATGTAGTATCCCCTTGTTCTGTTTGCCTCTTGATCTTTTTATAGATTTCTAATGAGCACAATTAAGTACTCTAGAATTCCCGTACTTCACAATGTTGTACATAATTTGTTATGATACTTGCAGCCGAAAGTCTTTGCATAGTCAGTAAAACACAGGTAAACATCCTTCTGGTATTCTCTGCTTCCCACCAAGATCCAGCAGACCTTAGCATTGTTAACCCTCATTCTATGTCCTCTTCTGAATCTGTCTTGAATTTCTGGCAGTTCTCTTTTGGTATGCTGCTGTGATTTTTTTTTAAATTACCTTCAGCAAAGTATTATTTGCATTTTATATTAATGATATTGTTCAGTAAATTCTGTATTCTGTAGTGTTATACACAGTTTAATGTAGCTGGGTCCAGAAGAAATAGAGATAACTAGCATCTGTAGAAAGATTAAATTACATTTTTTCCATAAGACAGGAACCACTAAAAATGATCAAAGAAATAGAAAATGATAAAATACTAAAAATTAAAAACATTATTTCAGAGAATACTGGAAGGCTGGAAGTAAAGTGCATGAAATCTCCCAGTGCAGAGAGTGAAAATGGGATAAAAAGGTTAGAGACAAAATATTAACCCATGTGGTCCAACTACAGAGAAAATTGGAAGAAAAAAAAAAGCAAAGAAGTCTTGCAAACATAAAGTAAGAAGAGTCCTTAAATTAAAATGTAAGAGAAATTTTTTTAAAAAAAAGCCTGTCCCTGAAAAGATCTTTATGAAATTGCAGAACACTGGTTATTAAGAGAAGACCCTAACTATTCCAGAGAGAAACATTGACTTACCTACAGAAGAATAAGAAATTAATTGGTAGGTAGTATGCTTTCTTAACAGCAAGAGGGGATCCTAGAAGATAGTGCCTTTCAGAGTTTGGAGAAAATAATTTTGCATTGAAAAATATCCAAAATACGAATGAAAGATAAAAATATTTTCCAGCATGAAAGCTGAAAGTTTACTTCCTTGAGCATCTACCTATTTGAGGATTTTCTGCTATAGGGGAAAACATGAAATTTAAACCAACACCAAACCATAAAACCAAACTGACTGTCATCCAGTAGATTCTGACTCATAGTGACCTCCTTTGGGTTTCCGAGGCAGTAAATCTTTACTGAAGTAGATTGCCCAATCTTCCTTCCGAGGAGTGGCTGGTGGGTTTGAACCGCCAGCCTTCAGGTTAGCAGTCAAATGCCTTAGGCACTGCGCCACCAGAACTCCTTTAAACCAACACAGGAGTAGTATAACAAAAGATAGCTTAGGAGCATCTGGTTAATAGGCCTTGAAAACAAGTACACTATGAAGGGTTCTGAAAAGAGTATCTTTAAGAAGAAAGTGGAATTAATGAAAAGTTTGATTAAGAAACGGAATGATTTTCATGACTTCTGTACTCCTTTCCTTTCCTTTCACTCTCTTAATAGCATTCCAGTAAAGCTTTTGTACCTTTCAGAGGTACTTTTGTCAAGGTCTTCAGTGACCTCCATGTTGCAGTTCAGTGGTTAGTTATAAGTCCTCCTCATATTTCACCTTTTAGCAGCATCTGGCACAGTAGATTAATTTTACTGTCTGAAACACTTTTTTCACTTTACCTCTGCACTTTGGATTTTTCTTTTCTCTCACTAGCCTCTCGGTTGGGTTTTCTCCTTCTTCCCTTTTCCCTAGCTTCTTAATGTTGGATTTCTTTCCTTCTCCATGTACATATTAGAGATATCGTCTAAGTTCATGCTTTCTTGAATATCATCTGTACATTATAACTCTGAATTTTTTTTTTTTAATAATTGTGATTTGGTGAAAGTTTACAGAGCAAATTCACCTTTCCATACGGCAGCTCACATAAACTTTGTCTCATGACATTGACTGCAGTTTCCCACAATGCAACAGCTCCCCTCTCACTTCTTCCCCATAGTTACTTCTTCTCTGTGTCCTTCCCTCCCATGCACTCCTGTCCCCTGAGCTGTCTCCCTGTGCATACACAGCCCTTCTAGTCTCCCAAGATTGATTTCTCTAAGGAGTGAACTCTCAAATTTTTGCTGTCAGCTGTTTTCTAGTCAATTCTAGATTCCTAGTTGACATTTTCACTTGAATAGATATCTCAAACTTAACACAACTAAAACTGAACTCAAGAAATTTTCTCCAAATCTACTTCTTCCGCAATTTTTCCTATGTCAATTAATGGCAATTTCACTTTTCTAATTGCCCAGGCCATAAAATTTAGAGTCAATTATGTCTTTAAACCGAAATTCACGTAAAACAATGTTATACGTGGATTGACAAACATGTTGTGACCAGAAGCTCACAGAAACCTAACTCTGTATTTCCGCTAGTAGTTCAGTGGAGTCCTCAATGGTGCAGTGGTTAAGTGCTAAGCTGCTAACCAAAAGATTGGCTGTTCAAACTCACCAGCTGCTCCCCAGGAGACAGGTTTGGCAGTCTGCTTTTGTAAAGATTTATGGTCTTAGCAACCCTATGGGACAGTCCACTCTGTCTTATGGGGGTCACTATGAGTTGGAATCAACTCAACAGCAATAGGTTTGGGTTTGGAATAGTTAAATATTTACCAGTTTGGTGTTTTCAATGACTTTATATGACATAACTTCCATGAATACGAAAATTGACATATATAGCTGTCCATGATTAAACAGCTCAGCATACACAATTATGGTCATTTGTAGAGCTATCATCTTCTAATAAATTTGAGGTCATGATAAGCAGTTAACAATGGCTAACATAAAAGCAGCCCCAGGGTAATGAATATGTGACTTAAGGACAGCTCTAACTTGCCCTTTAATTTTATGTAAACTTGTCCTTTGAAACAATTAGCAAAAAAAAAAAAAAAAAAAACCCCAAAAAACAAACTCACTGCTGTTGAGTCAATTCAGACTCATAGTGTCCCCCTTCTTGGGTTTCGGAGGCAGTATCTCTATGGAAGTAGAATGCCCAATTTTCCTTCTTCCGAGGAGTGGCTGATTAAATGATTGTTGTTGTTATGTGCCGTCGAGTAGGCCCCGACTCATAGCAACCCCTCCTTGGGTTTCCGAGGCAGTATCACTACGGAAGTAGGATTGCCCAACCTTCCTTCCGAGGAGTGGCTGGTGGGTTTGAACCGCCAGCCTTCTGGTTAGCAGTCAAATGCTTTAGCCACTATGCTAATTAGACCAACCCTAAAACCAAAACCAAACCTGCTGGCATTGAGTTGATTCAGATTTACAGTGACTCGGTAGGACACAATAGAACTGCCCCATAGGGTTTTCAAGGCTGTAAATCTTTAGGAAAGCAGACTGCCACACCTTTCTCCCACAGAGCGTCTGGTGAGTTCCTATCTTTGACCTTTTAGTTAGCAGTCGAGCACTTTAACCACTGCACTACCAAGGCTTCTGACCAGCTTTCATTTGCAACACATGCTTTATCAGAATCACCTTCATTTTCTGCATGTGCAGAAATCACAACATTAAGGCTTTAGGCCTTTTCTTGCACTAACCCACTGCCATCCAATCCATTTTGACTCATAGCAACCCTATAAGACAGAGTAGAACTGTTCCATAGGGCTTTCAAGGTAAATCTTTACGGAAGAAGATGTGTCTCATTTTTCTCTTGAGGTTTGAATTGCCAACCTTTTGGTTAGCAGCCCACTGCTTGAACCACAGAGCCACCAGAGCTCCTTCAAACCAAAAACCAAACTCATTGCCATCGAGTTGATTCCAACTCATAGTGACCCCCTTTGGGTTTCTAAGGCGGTAAATCTTTACAGATGTAGATTGCCCAGTCTTCCTTCCAGGTAGTGGCTGGTGGATTTGAACCACCAGCCCTCTGGTTAGCAGTCAAATGCCTTAGGCACTATACCACCAAAGCTCCTTCCAGAGCTCCTTACATAAGGCTAAATAAGAACCATATGCACATGTTCCAACTTACCTACAAATTCTGCTTAAAGGAGCATTTAGGAATGGATCTCATTCATAACCCAAGAACTGCCTGTGTAAAATAAAGTGATTAAATAAAAAATTAAACTTTTCCAAATTTTTTAAAAAAGGACAGGTTGCAACTTTTTAAATAGGAATTAAATGGATTAATTTTGAAACAAAAGATACTCTTATATTTGTTACATGATAAATTGTAATTTTTTTCTGATTTAGAATTGGTTCTTCTTTGGGATTAAATCTTCTGAATGACTAGTTGACTATATAATTATTTATACACCAAACCACCCTCACTGCCATCAACTCGATTTTGACTTATCACTACCCTATAGGACTGAGTACAATTGCCCCATAGGACTGTAAATCTTTATGGAAGCAGACTTCCTCATCTTTGGTTAGCAGCTGAATGCCTTTAACACTGAGTACCAGAGTGCCTTTATTTGTACATATTAGTTATTAATTACAATAAACCATTATACATTTTTAAAATGAAGTTTGTTTTTTGGGGTTAGCTTCTGCTTTTAACAATTCCAGGGCTAAAGGAGCTATATAGTACTTGATGAAGAAACAAAGATAACAAATGTAGTGGATTCCCAAGTAGTTTGGACATGTCCTCCAATCATCATTTCTTCCAGTATATTTGCTTATTCATTTATAAATTATATGTGTGTTGTCGTCATTGGCAATGTTAAAGATGATATATTTAGGGCACGTTTCTATAAATTTTATTTCAAATGGTCATCGTGCTGATTTTAAGTTTTTTAAATTGACTTGTCAGATCACATTGTATTGTTCTTAGTTATTATGGGACTAATAGTGAACTTGTACTAGGAAGAGGAGAAGTATTAGTTTTGTCATTTTGGGTTTATGCTTGTATTAACACTTTGCTTAATATATTGCTTTTTGTAGGGACATTCTGCAGCTTATCCATTGTGTGAGTTAAAACGAAATCACATCCATAATTCCACTGAACTGGTCACACAAAAACTGCCACATATGTCACTGTACGCTGAAAAAGAGCCTGCAGGTAAGAAGGTGTCATTGTCAAGTCCTCTACATTGAAGAACTCTTATTCTTCCCTCTAGATACCTTGAGTACTATATGTGGCATGTAACCATCAGATGTGCTTAGGTAAAGTCTTACTAAAGGTCCAGTTTCGATCTATATAGTGAATATTCATAATGCTTAATTTCTAATTTTTGATGAAAGTAAATGTAAATAAAATTTCTAGTATTTGCTTTCCTTGCCCCCTTGTGTTTTCCGCTTTGAAGACTATTTATTAGGAAAAGTTGTTAAGAGCATTGGTTTTGGAGTCATGTAGTTTGAACCTTAAGTTTTTTAATCTTTAAAATAAAATACATTACATACCATATAAGGGTGCTGAAACATTAAATAAGATAGCGTAATACTTAATATTGTGTATTATAAATACATTTTTGTTTCTCCTCTGTGCTTGGAAAAGATCATATTTCCTTCTTATTCTAATACAACAGCAACAAAAATATGTAATCATTCCATTTATTGACTATATCATGTGCTGTGGCAAAAAAAATATTTTTTTTATTTTCTGCACAGTATATGTAAAAATCTAATCAAGTAAGGAGTCCTTTATTTTATATATATATACTAAAAA